GCAGATGACTGTAGACCCAGCTGTCAAGTCACCCAGCCTTTCACTCTTTCCAGCTGAGGCCCCAGATATGGAGCAGAGACAAGCCATCCCTACTGTAGCCTGTCCAAATATTCCTGACCCAAAGTATCCATGAGAAAAAGAAAGAAAGAAAGAAAGAAAGAAAGAAAGAAAGAAAGAAAGAAAGAAAGAAAGAAAGAAAAAAAAAGAAACGTAGTTTTATACCACTACATTTGGGTGGAATGATTTCTTATTAGTAATAGTAACTGGGCCAGAGTATATATATAAACTTCTTTAAGCTATATGTATTACATATTTTCCCCCTTACTCATTATTCACCTACCTAGGAACTTCCTAGAGAAGATGTCTATAATCACTCCCAAGTTAGAATCTCTGGGCTTGATTCACATGACTTTTGGAATAAAAAGAGGACCAGGTTCCTTACTTCAAAGAAAAACACTTTTGAACCACTCGAAACATACAAAAGCAATCCATTCTGGCTGCAAAAACAAGAAAAAAAGAAAACCCTCATTAGCAAATCTGATGCCTTATTTCAATTGACTCTGAAAACAAATCAAAAATGAGATTTTTATCAGCAACAACTAACTAGAGCATCTAGGACTCTTGCTTTCCTTACCGCTGAAGGCTTGAGCCTTCACACAGTAAATAAAGCCATGCGCATAAAGTGTACTTACTTTAGCACAGCGCGTGGCACTTAAAGGTCCACCAAGTTCCAGTTATTATTATTGCTTTTGTTACCGTGAGAGTTAACCCTTGTCTTGACTCCAGCACTAACCTTCCCTTTAATAATGCTGGTGACCCATTTCAGCAGAAAGGAATCTATACTGGAGTTTGATCAGATGTGAAGAAAGGGAGCTCATATTCCATATGATCGGAAATGTTATACAACACCATGTAACCCAACTGCCACACCACACTCTATTTTGGTTTGGTCAAAGAACTGTCCTCTTTATAAAAAGGAGGAGGAGAAAGAAAAGAAAGAGAAAGAAAGAAAGAGAGAGAGAAAGAAAGATAGATCAATTATGTGCTAGAAAACAGGCTTCTGAGAAGTTACATTTAATCACTGCATGGATTTCAAGGTGAATAAATAAAAATATCTCCTTTGATCATTAGGAAGGTACCCCCCCAAGTGGTTATATAAACATTACAGAGCTGCAGGCAGATGGTGGCATGAATAACAGGGAACAAGGGTGGGATCAAAGAGCCAGGCCACCTCTACTCTTCAACTGCTGTGTGACCTTAAGCAGATCACTCAGCCTCTCCCAGACAGAGTGTCTTTAAAACAAGGCTAAATTCTAAACTTTTTATCCCTACTGAAAAGGACCCTTATGTAGAAGAGCACCCAGGTAAAAGTCACTATTCAGATGCTTAAGTATGCTGAATGACAACCCCCCAAGCTAACCGATCACTTGCAGATTTCACACACGCTAATTTCTATCTTAAAATTAGCTCAAAAAACCTGGGCCTTGCTGAGAATTGGCTAGGTATATCACACGTAATGAAATCATGAGTATCTACTTGAAGAAAAGGTGACTGGAGACAGAATTACAACTGGAATGGCTGGATGGCATCCCCTCTTCCCACTGCTGGCTTTTCACTGTTCCCCTCCAGTTGCTGGGGTGGGGGAGAATCTTCTGAAGCCCTACATTTATGGGAGGGGAGAGAGGGGCAGAAAGAATATGGGAGAAGAGAGATCAAGGGAAGGGACCAGGGAAAGAGCTGGAACTGCGTTGGTGGCACCTGTTTGGGAAACCATTTCAAAATGACATTTGAGTCACCAGGTTCCAAGTTTGCAGAGTTCTGCCCCCCCACACACACACACTTCCCCTGAACATCCCGGCTTTCCCAGGGCCCAGGCACTCCCCTGCCAAGGATGGACTTAACTATATCTCCATCCAGAAAAATGTCTTTTATACCCCAACAGCGGTAGGAACTCTGAGATTCACAGAGCCCTGGCACGCAGGAAAAATGGCTGGCATGTAATTGACTTGGCATGGTCCTTTCCAAAGGTGGTATCAAGTACAGACTGGCTTTTGCACTTGTAAAAATCAAGATTAAAAGGGGGTTAAATAAAGCCCTCCTCGTGAGAATCAGTCAGTAGTTGCTTTTGGCAGGTCTGGCACTGCCCTCTGAGAGAGGTCCAGCTTCCCTCCCTAGCACAGCCCACTTCCTGATGTCACTCCCCATCACCATACCAGCTGGGGTTCAAGAGAAAGGGAGAGAGCTGTGGAGTCCCGACGGCTCCCCGGAAGACCCGGGCAGACTCTCTCATATTACCATATATGAGGAAGGCTGTCAAGAGGTCTGTTAAGACCTGAACCAAGACCGACCATCTGTTTTCCCCATGAAGCCTGAGACCAGCCAAATTTGGGGGAGATCCCTTTTGCAACGGATGCCACCCCCTTACTGTCACTATCAAAATGCTCTTATTCTGCACTTCATAACGCCTGGTAGCAGAGCTGCATCGATCTTAACACCAAGGCACGTTATTTGTAACGGCTTTTTCTCACAACCATTTTTATGGCTGTTTTCCCACGAACCATGCCACTTGAACGGCTGGGATATAAAACCGTTTTTACAACAGTTGTTCTTCCAAGTCTTCCCCTCTGTTATTTAGACAGCTGCCCCCCAAAATCCAAACTGTTTTCAGTGGACAAGTGTTCTGAGCACATTTCTCCACAAGGTCTATTTTGGCTCAAGAAAAGCCAAGGACAAAGATAAGACAAAAGTTGTGGGTAAAGGGCAGACCCACTGCGGGGGTGGGGTGGGGGTGGGGGTGGGGGGGTGGAATCTAAAAGATCTCTTCCAGAAATGCAAGTGCACAAAAGGAATCAGTCTTCCCAGTGAGTGGCCAGCGAAAGCCAACAAGCACATTCCTAAACCCTAGCCAGGTGGCGGACACTTTTTTCCTACCCACCCGAAGTTCCGGGCACCTGTTCTGGAAAAGCGAGTATGGAGCTCTCTATCTGGTCCATACCGCCTGTTCCATTCGGGGCACACTGCAGAACAGCGTGCGCACCAGTCAACCAGTCCCCTCCGGGCCCTCAACAAGCCAAAGGTGTACAGGTGTTTGGTGACCTGCACAGGTGCTGAATCTTACCAGGGCAACTTTATTGCTGGCCTTGGCGGACCTCTTTAGGGTAAGAGTCCCCTGCGCCTCTACCCCGCGGGCCGGTGGGTCGCAAGGCTAGAGCCAAGAGGCGCAGGTAAGGGTTCCCCGGGCCAGCCGGGCGGCCCCGCGTGCCGGCCGCGTCTCCGCCCCGCGGTCCTCGCCTCTGCGCCCCCCCCCCCACTCCGCGCCCCTCCGCAGGACAGCGCGGAGCCGTGGTGCCCGGCGCCCCCCCCCCCACCCAGGCGCCAGCCTGCTCGCCCCGCGCGGCCGGGAGCCCCGAGCCGCCGGAGCCGCAGCGCCCACTCGGGGCGAGCCCGGGCACCCACCGTTGTGCTCCTGCATGCTCGACAGCGACCAGAGCAGCAGCGCCACCAAGGCCAGGAAGCAGAGCTGGCTCAGCAGAAGGTCCCTCCGGCGGCCCCGGCGACGCTCGCGGTCCTCGTCGTCGGGCGCCGGCATCCTCGGGCGGCAGGGCAGCGGCGGCGGCGGGGGCCCCGGCGGGCGGCGGCCGCTCCTGTCGCGGGCGGCCGCGGCGGGGACGGCGGCAGGAGGCAGCCCCGCGCGCTGCAGCCGCGCGCCCTCGCTGCGCTCCCGCTCGGCCGCCGCCGCCGCCGCCGCCGCCGCCGCCGCCTCTCCCTCCCCGCGGCCGGGCTCGTCGTCTTCGTCCTCGTCGTCGCTGTCGCTCAGTCCCTCCTCGCCCTCCTCCTCCTCCTGCTCGCCGCTGGCCCGCGCCGCCGCCTCCCGGCGCTCGGGGTCCCTGTCCTCCTCGCGCGCCATGGCTCCCACGCTCGGCGTCCGCGCTCGGCCTCGGCCTCGGCCTCGGGCGGCGGCGCGGCGGGGGCGGCGGGGGCGGCGGGGGCGGCCGGGAGGCGGGGGCGGCGGCGGCCGAGGAGGAGGAGCGGGAAGCACCGGCGGGAGGAGGGCCCGCGGCTGGCCAACTCCGCCGGCGGGCGAGGCCACCCGGGCTGGCTCCGGCCTCCCCGGCTGCGGGAGCGCGTCGCGGGGCCGCCCGCGCCCTCACTCCATGTCCGCGCGCGGGGGGCGGGGGCGGGGGCCGGGGCCGAGCCGGGCCGAGCGGGGCCGAGCGGGGCCGGAGCGCGCCGGGAGCCCGGGCGAGGCTGCAGCACGGCCGGCGCAGCTCCCGCAGCCTGCGGCGGCTCTCGGCGGCTCTCGGCGGCTCTCGGCGGCGCGGGAGCGGGAGCGGGAGCGGGAGCGGGAGCGGGAGCGGGAGCGGGCGCGGGCGCGGGCGCGGGCGGGGGCAGCGTGGCCGGCGCGGCGGAGATTGAGCTGCGGGCCGAGCCCCGTGCGCGATCCTCCCGCCGCGCGGTGCAGGGAGAGGGGGCGGCGTACAAGGCCCCCTCCGGGGGAGCACGCCGCCGAGAGGCGGGTCTCCGGGCCGGACGGATCGTCCGAAACTTCGGAGAAACCGAGGGTCTCTCCGGCCCCCTCCCCACCCTCTGCCCGGAGCCCAGGAGCCGCGAGTGCGCCCCGCTGCGCGCGCCCAGCCGGCGGCCGCGCCTCCTCCCGCGGGCCTCCTGGCTTTCCCTCCGCCCCCTTGTGGGGATCCCCTCGCGCCAGGCTCTGGACCTGGAACCGCACTCCCTGGAGGCTCTTGGCTCAGTGGGGGTGTTCTGGCTGGCCCGGCTCACCCGGCTCACACTTCACTCCCGGATCGCGCTGGACCCAATCCAGTGCTGTGGCTGAAGGAAGGAGCTGGGGGGGGGGGGGGCGGCGGTGCCGCCGCACTGTCCCTGAGTGAGGCGGCCTGAGGGTCGCCAACCCCAGGAGGAGGACGCTGGCTTTCGGAAGGGAGCATCAGCCTGCCTCTACCCCCTGAGGTCCCAGAACCTAGTTCCCCCGTTCCCCTGTCCCCAGTTCTGCTCCTGCCCTCGCCTACTTAAGGTGGTGACTGTCCTCGAGTCCGGCCCGGCCCCCAGCCATGCAGAAGGTGCTCGCTCACTTCCAGGGGACACCTAGTGGTCTCAGAACCCCCCGCCATCCCTCCTCGCGTTTCCAGGTGCCTCCCTGGGTCTGTGGGCGGGATGACTGATAAAGGGCCCTAAGGAGATGCTGAAAACAAAGGGCAGGGTCGGAAAAGGATCCCTCAGAGACCCGAGGTCTGCTGGATGACTGTCTCCACGGAATCCTATCCTGCGGGGAAACATAGCAGCAGACATCTAGACAGGTGGGCAGGAAGGAGGTTTCTCCACTCCTAGATCTGGGAGCACCCAGTGTCCAAGTGTGTCCCCACCTGTGGGTGATCTCCTAGCCCACAGCCTCTCAGATCACCCCAAACAGCAGTTGGGGACAGCAGGGTCACAGGAGAGGACAAAGCAAACCTTCAAAGGTGGTTTCCCTTTCCACGGAGGGACCATTTCACTCACGGAGACTGGAAGACTTTTGCTCCTTGGGCACGTCACGTCTTCACTCCTGTTCTCAGCTTGGCATCTTCCCAGACACACAGAGCCGTCCCTATAATGCCAGTTTGGTTGTCCTTTTGCTCTGGTTCCCAGGTACTGAGGAGGATTTACAACTATGGAAGTTCCTCCCGGCTGGAGTGTGGGGCGAGTCCTCCAGTGGTGTTACCTCCCTCAGACATTCAGAGACACAGACATGGAAAGTTAGGAGTGCAGAACATACTGACTTTCCTTCAGCCAACTGGAGAAGGTACTGAGTGTCAACAGGGAAGATAAAAGTGAAAGGGGGAAGGAACCCAGAACTAATTGAATTAGGGAACAACATGAGCTCAGGGGGAAATGGCCACAGGCACAAGAAATTGTGTAATTGGTGATGGGAGAGGTATCGAAGACGGAGCAAGGCAGGAGAAACCGGGAACGGGCTCTTCCCCAGAGATTCTCCCAGCACCTGCAGTGAGAGAAAGAAACAGGACAGGAGGGAGAGCCGGGGACAAAGAGACGACTCCCGGGGGCACACAGAAATGACTTTTCAGTTAACATGCACTGTGACAGGGGCACCTGGGTGGCTCAGTGACTGAGCATCTGCCTTCAGCTCAGGTCATGATCTCGGGGTCCAATGGAGTCGGAGTCTGCATCGGGCTCCCTGTAGGGAGCCTGCTTCTCCCTCTGCCTGTGTCTCTGCCTCTCTCTGTGTGTCCCTTATGAATGAATGAAATTAATTAATTAGTTAATAAAATCTTTTTAAAAATTCACTGTAACATTTCAGAGCAAAGAGGATATTGAGATAAAACAAAAAGGCCCCTGATTAGCCAGTCGCCACCTGGGGAGGAAAAACGGAGAGATCTCTTCCCCAGCCTGATAAGGCCTTCAGCAGGTGGGTTCCTTGCTGCACCCTACCAAGAAGGGATAGCTTCTCTGCAGGAAGGAGAGGGAAGGTTCCGTCTTGCGCCAGGGAAGCCCCTCTTCTCAACAGGCACACTTGGGGCGTGGGGAGAAAGCCAACTCCCAGGTCCTCTGTCAGCACCACCAGGGAAGGAAGGCAGACCCCAGGGGGCTCCTCTTCCCAGGAAAAACAGTTATTATTTTTGTCCTACCTGGTCTCTCCTAGTCTTCGGAACACACCCTCCCGCCCTATTGCTGTCTCATCTTGAAACTGAATTTTGCTCAAGGCAGGGAACTGAAACAACTAATGTGCTACTTATCTTTCACCATCAGGACCATCATCAATCCTGAGGTGGCTTTTGCCTTCTATTTCCTAATCTGTGTGTTTTTGATCTCACATTTTTGTGCAAGGAGCCGTAGGGAGAAAATTCCAGGCCCTGCTATATCATCAGTCTGAGGATTAGCTTACTTGGAAAGAGGGGCATCTGCCCAAGATGTGCTGGGGCCTTCATCCCTCCAGGAATGAGCCAGGGGCTTCCTCACCCTGGGCTATGTGTTGGGGGTCACCAGGCATACCCCCTGTTCTTACCTCCCGTCGACATTCCAGTTTCTGTTCTGTGCAGAGACTTTGGGCCTGATGTGGGGTCATAGAAGTGATTCATCTTTCTCCTAGCTCTGCCTTTATAACAAAGAATTAAAAGCCTCCTGTGACCACATGCACTGATGCTCAGCCTGGGAGAACTCTTACATCAGCCAGTGAGTGGGGCCTTATCTGTGCCCAGACAACCTTATCTGGGCCTCCCTGTGCTCTTTCCAGGTCTCCAGCCTCCCCCACCACCCCCGCCCACAGCACCCAGACCTGGCAGAGTAATCTCCACAACAAAACAAGGTTGTATCTCCATAACACCAAACAATGCCAGTTATGTCAGACAAACCACCTATTGAGAAGGAAGAGAAGAAATGAGAAAATCCAAGAAGAAAGCCACATGCAAGTGAGGTGCTCACCACGGCTACACCGTAACACAGGGAGACATGCCCCAAGCAAAGATGAAAGACCACTAGATGTTCACAGAAAAGCTTTTTACATCTATTTTACTTTTTTTTTCTTTTTTCTTTTTTTAGTAAGCTCTACACCCAGCGAGGGTCTTGAACTCACCACCCTGAGATCAAGAGTCACATGCCCTACCAACTGAGCCAGGCAGGTGCCCCTCACAGAAAACTTTTAAATACCGTAAGGCTAAATGTTGGCAGATGGGGAGAGAAACTCTCCTGTGCAATGCTTCTGGAACAGTCTTCAGGTATAATACCCCTTCCATGTGCCTAGAGACAACCACCCAGGCCTCCTGCCACTGCTTGACCATGGCAAACTACAGCACTGAGCAAACTGACCCGCTGCTCTTCACCTGCAGACGTGTCACCCTGCACAATGCAGTCACCCAGATTTGGACAAAACCCCAACTTGCTCCTGGAAAGCCTGACTCTTGTTTCCCTCTCCATTTTTGTCAGCTGCCTTTCTTGAAAGCCAGGAAAACTGCTCCTTTAGACTCTCCCTGAACTGTCAGCGTTTTGAAGAACACAAAATAATCACCCCTGTAAGAGTGTGAATCCACACTCCACATCCTGAGGCATTTCAGAGCACCAAGTCTGCAAGGCAGGGCTCACATTATTTTAAGAGTTCAGTTTACAACCGGAATTAAAAGAAACAGCTTATTGTATGATGGTTTCCATTTTTTTTTTATTTTCCTTTTGCCCAACTGTCTGCATTTGTTTGTCAATTTTGACTTGCTACATGGATATGGCTATGGATTTTTTCCCCTTGTGGAAAAAAGTTTACATGTTCACAGCTGCCTATTATCCTTTTTTCTTAAGATTTGTTTATTTAGGGCAGCCCGGGTGGTTCAGCAGTTTAGCGCTGCCTTCAGCCCAGGGCGTGATCCTGGAGGCCTGGGATCAAGACCCACGTCAGGCTCCCTGCATGGAGCCTGCTTCTCCCTCTGCCTGTGTCTCTCTGCCTTTCTCTGTGTGTGTGTCTCTCATGAATAAATAAATAAAATCCTTTTTTTAAAAAAAGATTTGTTTATTTACTTGAGAGAGAGAGAGAGCACGTGCAAGTGGAAGGGGCAGAGGGAAACGGAGAGAGAATCTCAAGCTGAGCACAGAGCCTGACATGGGGCTCAACCTCATGATCCTGAGATCATGACCTGAGCTGAAACCAGGAGTCAGATGCTTAACCGACTGTGCCATCCATCCTTTTTTTTTAAGTAGGTAATATATGTATATATTATATATATATATATATACACACACACAGTAAAATACACTCAGCTTTAGCACTGAGTTCAATGATTGTACATATGTATGTACAGCCTACATGGGTTCCACATCACGACTTAGAACATTTCCTGACCACCCCACCCCCTGAAGTCTCCTTGCACCAATCCTCCAGCAGGCAATAACCCCTGAAAATAACCCCTCGCAGGTCATTGCTGCCTGTCCTTGAACTTCAGGTACATGGACGCTTGTCTCTATGGGATCCGTCCACACTGGTGTGTAGAGCTGTGATTTTTTTTTTCATGCTGAGTCGGTGTAGATTTTTTTTACCTGATGCTTCAGTTCCCTTCCAAGTTTAGTGTAAGCCAAGAATAACTAAACAACTGCCTCTGGATCAGAGACAAATGACCTCCCAGATTGGCTAGTTTTATAAGGAACTTCAGCTGAAATTGAAACAGTCACCGGCTGCTTCTCAAACCGGTTACACCACCCCAGGGTAACTGTAGGACAACAGGTCAACCAGCAAACTTCAGGGGCCAAGCTTTTAAAGACAAGCCTAGAAGAATCCCTCAGATGTGCATTAAAATTTGGATGCAACTTTTAATGGAAAAAGCACAACCCATTTCTCGTGCCTTCATTCAACCATCTGATTCTTCTGAGAGTAAAGTAGAATAGGTACCATCAAGAGAGATTCCCACCCAGTCTGTGGCAGAGCCATGGAGCTGCCTTTCAATCAAATGTCAGTGGACTTAAAAAGTACAAGAGAGCTTGTTAGAAATGTCAATTCTCAGTCCCATTCAAGGGAAATGGGATTCAGGAAGCCTGGAAATCTGTAGTATTCACAAGCTCTCAGGGGTTCTTCTGCGTTAAGGTTTGAGATCTGCTGTTCTAGACAGTACAGGTTGGCATGTATTTCTGGTGGACCCTGGAGGGTAAATCTGAAAGTGAAAAATATATTACCTCACCCCTTTTGTCAATATTTTTAATTGACTTGTTTTAGATATTTGGAAAAAACAAAGACAGGGTATACAAATATACCCTATAGCTATGGCTATATCTATCTTCTGTTTCACACAAGTGGTATCAAAACTGAAAGTGATTCCTATAAAAGAAAAACAATCCAGGGCTATAGACATAAGAGAGAGTTCCAAATTTTAAATCATTAGAGGACAAAAATTGAGTATTCACAATTTGAGCAATTTGCTAGTTCTATCAGAATCATTTAGAAACACAGGTGCCTAAGCGGCTCAGTCGGTTAAGTGGCTGACTCTTGATTTCAGCTCAGGTCATGATCTCAGTGTCATGAGATCAAGCCCCACACTGGGCTCCGCACTTGGCCCAGAGTCTGCTTGAGATTTTCTTTCCCTCTCCCTTTGCCCCTTCCCATGAGTGCACTCACTCTCAGAAAGAAGGAAAGAAAGAAAGAAAGAAAGAAAGAAAGAAAGAAAGAAAGAAAGAAAGAAATAGAATCATTCAGAAAAAAACCCCACATAAACCCCACTAGTTTTATTTTGTATTTTGTTGATATAAACTTGGGCACATAGGGGGCTTATTTTTGTTAACATATAAATACTAGGCTTAGCAGTCCCATATTTTTAATCAAGAAAATAGATCTACAAAAGGTTTTATCATTTTTACATTTCAAAACCTCATCCCCATAGATATGGTGTACATCTTAAGTAGCAAAAGCAAGCTGTATTATGTATTGTGTTTTGTCATTTTTATCAAGTTAAGTAAAACCATATGTGTCTCTGGATAGACAAATAGATGTCAAAATATATAGAGATACAAATATACATGGATATAAAATATATAGATCTCTCTATACTTATATAGAGAGATGCAAATGTATGAAATAGATAAACATAGATATACTTGTATTATATAAAAATTACTCTTCTATAATATGAAATATATCTATTTTTTAGATGGTTGACAATGGTTACTTCTGGAGGTGGGATTACATGATTTTGGGTGGGGATCAGTGAATAAAGAGGGACTTTCACTTTTTATATCATACCATTTTATGTTTTTGGAATTATTTTTCTGGCATCAGCATGTCCTATTCTTTTCTAATTTAAAAAAATAAGGAAAAATTAATCTGTGAGTTAAGACAGTTGACTTAAATTAGAGGAATTGACATGGTTTGACTTTGGGGTACCCAGCAGAAGGCTAGGTGGGGGGCTCCAGGCATTGCCCAGCATTTCCTGGCGGCCCTATGACCTGAGGCCTATATCTGAGCAGCCCAAGGATGGCAGAGGAGGGACAGCCCACCCAGGTGCTCGGCCTTAGCTGGCTGGGGTAGGAAGCTGGATTCGAGATTCTAACTTGGCCACAGTCCTAATAATGTGCAGGTGTTTCTTCCTTCTTCTCCCATGTCCTCGCTGATAACTAGAAAGATGCTGCCAACCCTTCCTCAGAAGGGTGTTGGCAGCAAGGGAGCCTTCTGAAAATCCAGAACAGCCCAAAGAAAGAAACGCCAAAGTCTGTCGCTCTTCACACTAGAGTAACCCTATGTTATCTGTAATGAGAGTAATCACAGCAACCCCCTCTTCCCCAACACCAGAAATCTAACTGTGGATCAGAGTCCACTTCAAGCCTAGCTCAACTGCCAAGTGTAACACCCTAAGAGCTGTAAACGCATGACCCATCTCCAAGCCCTTGTCACCAGAGAGACTCGAGGTCAGGCTCTAAGACAGTGGGCTGGGCCACGAGGTACAGCACTGAATCCATTTCCTCTTCTCATTTCATCCCCCAGGCTACCAGCCACCCCAAGGGCAGGGGACAGTCCGCAAGCCGACCTTGAAAAGCGGTGGCAGCACGCCCCCTGGTGGCAGTGGTAGACATTGGGGGGATTTCTGATCCCCTGAAAGAAGTGGTTCCTTCCCACCGGATCTGCCCTTGACTGGTTCAACTTAATCTCAAACTGAATCCAGTCTCCACCCTTCCTGTTCAGGCAACATCTGACTTTGAAGTGACTGCTGAGTCACCTGTAGCACACTCTGTCTCCAGAGTTGGATTCACTGGAGAGATTTCCTCAAATTTTTATTATGGTTGTACTGCCTTCAGGTACTTAAATGTCACTTGTTTAATGTTAGATCCTTTCTTTGAAAATTTATACCTGAGGTAGACAGGACTCATCTGCACCATCTCCTTTCCAACCATTCTAGCCTTGCTACCCAAAATGTCATCCATGGGCCAGGAACATGGCATCCCTCGGGAGCTGCTTGGAAATGCAAATCTCATGGCCCACTGCACACCTGCTAAATCAAAATTTGCTTTTTAACAGAATCCACTCAAGATTCCTATGCGGAGGAAAGATGGAGAAACATGGATTTGGTCGGTACTTCCTCTAGGACTTCAAAACTACCCG